AGACAAGATGATAACATAACATTTTTTATTTTTATTGTGTTTTTGTTAATGACATAACATTTCAAAAATACAGACAGACCATTCAGTGCCTCGGAACTGAAACAAACTCTACTATTAAATTAAAAAAAAAAAAAAAAAACATTGTCGGATAATGGCCACGCGTTCATATACACTGCTGCTGCAGTATGAATAGAACGCCCGATCATCGTCGCTGCATATCTGGACTGACAGTTTGTCCAAATACAGCGATAAACATGGGACGGGCTGGACTGACAGTCGCTCCACCATGACATGCAGCGATAACAACGGGTCATTCTATTCGATGAAGACGGTTGTGCTATCCTTTTTTTTTTTTTTTTTTTTTGTGCTATCCTCTATGTACGAGCACATGCTTAACAGACATATGTCATTGAGCATAGCACCACTGGCCCCTGGCCCTACCAATCAACTACCACCACCTACCAATCACCAGCACAACAGTCAGGGCAATCACCAGAGGAGGAGGAGGAGGAGGGAGAGCGGTGATGGAGGAATGTGGGGAGGTGACGGAGTCGGAGCGGGGAAGGGGAGGGGGTGAGTGGTCGGGCTGGGCGGGATCGCATCGCACCCACCCCCCGTCTGCTGCCCCGCCCCCCCTTATCAATCAATCGATCAATCCATCCCTTTGGATCTTGATTTGAATCAATATCCGGTCATAACAATCGATTCGATTGGATTAGGGAATGATGAATACCCGGTACAGTGGAGGAGAGAAGACAACAAGGACTGGGAGGTGGTTGAGGCGGAGGAGGAAGAAGAAGAGGAGGAGGCCGAGGAGGACGAGGACGGGGATGATTTGATTTTATTTTATTTTTTGAATTGCGTTCGATAATTTCAAATTGCCTGAAATTTTATCCTATCCCTGAAGGAGCGTTGGCCGCGGGGGAGGTCGATGGTCCACTGCAGTCCGAAATCAGGTTGAAACTTTTGGCAAGGGCCGGCAGATGAAGGCGATCGAGGGCGGGGGGGGCATGCAGAGTGGTGTGTGTACCGAATTGTTCACAGCGCACCAGAAAACGAGAGAGCGCGCCCGCCGGCCGGGGAGGCGGCGGGCGTAGATGCGAGGGAATATCTCGAAGCAGCCGCTGTCGATAGGTGGGCAGGAGTCGTTTTTCCTTCTTCTTTTTCGTCGGGGCAGCAGTTTGTCGTTTCGTTTTTCATTTTTTTTTTCGCTGGGGCAGCAGTTTGTCATTTCGTTTTTCATTTTCTTTTCGGCGGGGCAGCAGTTCGTTGTTTCGTTTTTCATTTTCTGCGGCATGGCCCGCACCGCGGGCGTTTAGCTAGTGAGGTGTACCTCACTTCACAAAGAACCCACAAGAGGTTCTTCGGAAAAAGAAAAATACTTATATTTAACACCCCAAATAAAAAGAAACAGGGAAAAGAAAAACAGAAGACGTTCAAAAACCAGAATAGAAACTTGGAGACTCATGGAGAGCATGTTTCTGACACGACCACCTTTGGCAATTTTTAGTTTTTTTAACTTTTTTTTCCTACTAATCGAAATGCATGCTCTTCCAAAAATTATGTCCACACACCTCATCGACAGAAGAAGAAGTGACAGAAAAGCTTTAAAAAAAAAAAACACAAAAAAACATTTAGCCCGATTTAGGTATTTCGAAGTGAGTTTGGACATACAAGTCTTTGATCGGGCTTTGGTCGGGCTTTGGTCGGGCTTTGCTCGGACGTTTCGCCTGGTTGTCTGAGCGTGTGTGTTGTGTCCCGAACGTCCGATCAGGCAACACAGCAAAAGTGCACTTTCTGAATGCTTTTGAAGAGGGGGGGGGGGCTGAAAAGTAGGCATCCCTGTATACAACTCGTGCATATTTAAATTAGCTAAGGACTTTCCTCGACGCATATAGCCACTTTTCCAACCTGCCCAGGATGCACCTGACAGCAATTCTGTCCACAGAGAAGTGGAAAAGGTCCTCAGGTAGTGTGACGGCATACTCACATTGGGACACCAAATCCGCATACTCACATTGGGACACCAAATCCGCATACTCACATTGGGACACCAAATCCGCATACTCACATTGNGGGACACCAAATCCGCATACTCACATTGGGACACCAAATCCGCATACTCACATTGGGACACCAAATCCGCATACTCACATTGGGACACCAAATCCTCAAAATATGTGGATTTCGGAAAGGTGGATTTGAGGTTTTGGGCATGGTTCGGGTCGCACTGCTGTACCTTTACGGATGGGACACAGCAGTGGGCAATCTGGAGAAATGGGAATTCGGTACTTTTCTGGTCGCACGGCGCCATCCACAACTTGTGCCAAAACTTTTGTGAAACGAATTTTCACCAATTTTTCAAAGAAAATGCTAAAAAATAAATAGGGCATTTGCAGTCACCTCCAGAGGTGACCGCAAATTCCCTTGCCCGGCAGCTACACAGGCCGCTGACAAATGGGCACGCGAATAGTGCATTTAGGACTTTGGCAAATCTGTGCGACCGGCCCTCTACCCCATCTTGGGAGGAATTTTGGGATTATAGGTCCCCGTGGAGTATGCCCCGAGTCTGACCTGAAAACCAGAAGGTCAGCAAACCGGGACACACAGAACCAACTTACGGCCCAACTGCGCATGCCTCGACACCTGATACCTGCAGTAGCGTCGTCAACCGGACACATAGAACGTATGGTCACGACAGCTGTATTTGGAGCAATTTTCAGTCTACATACTTGGGGAAGACGATAGGTAGGTAGTCTTCGACTCTTGGCAGCCGAACGAGGTGCGGCGTCAGAACGCAGATGGCTGTGCAATCGGCCTTCCTTTTTTTTTTTTTTTTCTTGTGCATAGTTCTAAGTCAGTTGTCCAACTCCCATCTCCCCGACCAATCGCCATATCATTGCATCTGGCTAACATTTCGCATCAGATACAGATACGATCACTCCATCTTTGGCCAGGCTGAAGTCACTGGTAGCCTCTGGAGTTCCGAACCTACCCTCGTCACCCGAATACAGTGCCCGGTCATTATCGCTGCATCTGGTCTGGAAGTCACCCCAAATACAGCTATAATGACCAGGCGTTCTATTCGGGTGAGGACGGTAGATAGGTTGGGCCAGGTCAGCATCGGTTATACAAGGCAAGCACACCAACAACGTACGAACTGGACACACCAGCGCTTCGTCTGTCCTCCAGAAGTACAAACCTACTACCACCTTCCCCTGAACATGACGCAACCTAAAAATGAGTGTATATGAGTTATATTTCCGGCCACATACAGCCAAAATGCGGGTGCATTGTGTTCGGGCGAAGACCGTAGTTAAGAAAAAACTCACATGATTCACAGAGAATTGACCCTTACCTGGATACAGTACAAGGTTGAAGGCAATGCAGCAACAAATGAGGGTGCATTGATGATGCTCTTTCTGAGCACAAGTACTCTTCCCAAGCCTAACTAGAGTCAGGCAGCTCCAAATGAGGTAGGTTGGAAATAACGTGGTTAGGTTCGAAAGCCGAACACACACGTGGTATACAAGTGGTTTTCGAATCAGACCATGGGTCTCGCCGCACGGCACACGAAACGAGAACGAAACAAGTGCATCTGCCCACGAAAGGTGTCAATATACACTCGTTACTATTTACAGCAAACCGATGACCCTGGCCATTTTCTGCAGGAAGATGCACTCGTTTCGTTTTTCGTTTCGTGTCCCGTGCGGCGACGCCCCATGTCATTTTGGTACTTGGGCGGTTACGACACGATGAAGTGGAACGCAGTGCAGCAGACGCGGATACAAGTGCTTAAGCCACTAGTACTTGGCCCATACACCAGCCGTGTGCGTGCGTGCCCCTCACCACGACTTCCGGACACCCTAAACGCGAAAATGGCGGTTGACGAAATGTATCGACGGCGCCGAGGGCCCAGAAGTTGCGGCGTGTGCACAAAAAAAGCCTGCGCCTGATGTATGGGGCAAGTACTGCTGGTTTCAACCATGGTTAACTGATGGCACTGGCTGTAGACCGACTGCAAATTATCATGCCAACGCGCTATGTCCATGCTATCAAAGCACGACCATGGCTGGTACTACAGCCAGGTTCATGCTGTCCAAGAATGAATATATCACCAGTGGGGCCTGGCCCCTCATTGTACGTAATTGCTTCACCAAACATTCCGCTGCCAGGGACAAAATTACGCCAACAAGCAAGAGGTTATATATCTTCTCCACACACCAGTGGATCCTAAGGCCTGCAAGCCCAAACCCTAAAGTGACTAAACCGCAGTTAACTCCAGTGTAACAAGACTAATGCAGTGCCGAAGCAGCGACAAGAAACACGACTGCGCGGACACGGATGCATAGTCCAGATTCATAGCTGCCCGGGCCAAGAACAGAACTGATGACCCACGCAGTTATGGGAAGGATTTCCAGATCAGCCATGACAGATGTCAGACCTCAAAACATTATCAACCACACAGACCAGGTGGCTTCAGGAAGACCCACGCAAGAGACACACACACAGAGAGAGAGAGAGAGAGAGAGAGAGAGAGAGAGAGAGAGAGAGAGAGAGAGGAAGAAGAAGAAGAAGAAGAAGAAGAAAAGGGGGAAGAAAAGGGGGAAGAAGAAGGAAAAGAAGAAGAAGAAAAGGGGGAAGAAGAAGAAGAAGAAGAAGAAGAAAAGGGGGAAGAAGAAGAAGAAGAAGAAGAAAAGAACAGAACTGATGACCCACGCAGTTATGGGAAGGATTTCCAGATCAGCCATGACAGATGTCAGACCTCAAAACATTATCAACCACACAGACCAGGTGGCTTCAGGAAGACCCACGCAAGAGACACACACACACAGAGAGAGAGAGAGGAGGAAGAAGAAAGAAGAAAGAAGGAAGAAGAAAGAAGAAGAAGAAGAAGAAGAAGAAGAAGAAGAAGAAGAAGAAGAAGAAGAAGAAGAAGAAGAAGAAGAAATGCTCGCGGTGTAGTAGCATGCCATCTGAAAGAAACACTTGTGCATTGTACCATTTGCCGCAACACAAACCACCTGCCAGGACCATGTTCGACCTGCGGTTCAAGCTCCAGTCCCACGCTATCTCCCACCCTAAAAGCAGAGAAATACAAGCCATACCTAAACTCCAGGTTCAGCCTTCACGTCTGCAGGAGCAAGTGCGCATGGAATTCCCTTCGCTGCAGTGTTGGTTGAAGAAAGCCGAACTGTCACCCGTGCGATATTCCGTGTCCGATGGCGGAAAACTTGCTAAACATCACTGAGAGAGCTTTGACGGGGGAACATAGCTTTTCCTGTCGGTCAGGTCACGAGTCATCCTCTACCCAGTTTGCTTGCTATGTCCCCCTTGCAGTTTGCGTCTTGCCGGTTAACACCTTGATGGTCTTGCCGGTTAACACCTCGATACCCAAAGGTACCTGGTCAGCTTCTCTGCTAGTAGGCTTCCAATGAATGAGCCCGTCACCACCTCTGCTCGGTGCAACGGGAACCGCAGTAATTGTCTTAATCGATCATGGTAACTGCAATAACTAACTGCAGTAAATGTAATGTCGTAACTAACTGCAGTAAATGTTGTAACTGCAGTTACTGGGTTAACTGCTAGGACTGCATACTCGCTGCAAAGGCGGCTAGGAACAGGAATACTGCAACACATTGATTGACACACTTCAGAACACACACACAAGGGTAAAAACCAACGACTGCCAAGGAATGCCCAAGCGCAAACGGAAAATTGCAGCGCGAAACACATTACAGGACAAAGAAGAAGATGGAATGAATACAGTGTACAGATGTGTGGGAGAACGACATCCTATCCACTTACCCCGTCGGTAACTGCCCCCCACAGCGGGCTTGAGTTCGATACAGGTGTAACCGTTCACACTGATCCATGGTTGAAACCCTCGGATGGTTCCTCCGTAAACTGCAACAGGTGTAAACCGTCAGCTCAAGCTCTGCCATGCTGACGACATCACGCGATATGAGTGAACTATGACTGCAGCGTCATCGGGAGCCATATCCACAACAAAACGTCAGACTATCGTTACGATACTCTACTAACTTTTTACGGTCCGGGTTAAAACTTACTATACTGTGAACTGCGGGGTTCAAGTTCCAAGTTCCAAACTCCAAACTTGGGCCAGTGGTCCAAGTCCCAAGTTCCAAGTTCCAAACTCAGGCCAGTGGTCCAAGTTCCACATTCCAAGTTCCACGTCCCAAGTTCCAAGTTCCAAGCTCCAAACTCCAAACTTGGCCCAGTGTCCAAGTCCCAAGTTCCAAGTTCCAAACTTGGGCCAGTGGTCCAAGTTCCACGCTCCAAGTTCCAAGTTCAAAAGTTCCAAGTTCCAAACTCCAAACTTGGGCCAGTGGTCCAAGTCCCAAGTTCCAAGTTCCAAACTTGGGCCAGTGGTCCAAGTTCCACGTTCCACGTTCCAAGTTCCATGTTCCACGTTCGAAGTTCCAAGTTCCAAGTTCCAAACTCCAAACTTGGGCCAGTGGTCCAAGTTCCAAGTTCCAAGCTCCAAACTTACTGTACTGTTAACTGCAGGGTTAAAACTTTAACGCTCTTATATACAAGGCCAAGAAGCAGATCGCATCCAGGCAAGCTCCAAGGACTGATGAAATTGTGTGCACCTCGTTGAACGTGCGACCAGGTTCATCTGCAAGCCCATGAGGCAGATGACATCCAGGCCGTTGGTTCAAGCTCCAAGCTGAGATCGAATCATGTGCACAATGCGCAACCGCGGGTTCATCTGCACGCGGATGAATGCACGACCGAGTTCATCTGCAAGCCCATGAGGCAGATGACATCCGGGCTGTCCGTGCAAGCTCCAAGTGCTGGTGCACGATCGTGTACACCTGGTTGAATGCACGATCGGGTTCATCTGCACCAGCGTGCTGGAGGTGTGAATACCATTATCATCCTGTTGAGAGGATCCTGCTGTTGCCCGCAACAGGAAGCCAGATGCAGATCACACAACCTGCGCAGAACCCATAACCCAAGTTGCATTCCTCGCCATCCAAGTTTGAGCCTTGCAATCCAATCCCCCCCTAACTACAAAAGCCAGACCCCATCTGTGCACCAAGGAGATTGCACTAGGCCTGGTGCGGATCAACGACATCAACGCATTCGCTGGCAATGCACAAGGTGCACTGGAGGTCTCAGAAGCGAAATAGGTGACAGCAGAGCACATGCTAGTTTCCATCCTGCAGGCCAACAGACCCCCAGTAGTAGAAAATGAGCTCCCCACCTTACTCCCTCCCCTCCCCTTCCCCCCTTTCTTCAACAACAGCCTCGTATCCAAGAAGGTCTTCTACACCTTATTACTTCAGGATCAGGTGAGTCAATTCTCAGCTCGTAGACCAGACTAATGATTCTCTGTCCAGAGTGTCACACCTGCCCGGACAATAGGCACTTCTCCTCGGAGCAGCACCCAGTGCTCAGATCGACTGCGCCCCATCCTTCAGCGGTCTCCAAACGACACTCCGTCACGGAGGTGTGGATTGATTGCCTGCGTGACGGTTGCCTCCCCTGTGCAGACGTCCAACGAAGAGTCGATGAAGGAACGCTGCTTAGATTTGCCGAAGCGGCCCACGAATAAAACGGACACTGGAACGGCATGGCGTAAATGGAGATCCCCGTAGCTCACATCAGGGCCAGGCTTCACTATACATACAAAAAGAAAGGTCTATGTGAGACTGAAGAATTCTACAGATTTAGACCGCGGTTCTAGTCAGCAATAAAAGTATATATATTGCAAGACGGTTGCGACATAGGAGGTCCAACCCCTTAGCCATCGCCACAGGATCGTCCACAAGTCAACGATCTGTTCTGCTGCACGACAAAGCAGCTGAGTACAGCAGCTGCCACAACCACAAGGACGAAGATCCCATGGTGTTCCACGTGGGACCACACGATGCTCCAGTTGGGCCCAACTGGGCCCATCCGATTATCACAGGACTTCTATAGGTGCAAGAAGCAGCTGCCAAGTGGAACCTACCCAGAGGAAGAAAGAGGCAAGAGACAAGATTATGAAGTGCCGAATGGGCCGCAAGACAATGCCTACTGTATGATTTTCAACCACATATGAGGGGATTCCTCCCTTACGCTGGACAGCACTGCTCTCAAGACATCAACCCGTCATGCGTCTAGAAGCATGCCAGCAAATCCAACCTCAATACGCTAGCAGGAGAGGTTAGCAAGAGGTTCCACGCCCGCAGCTCCACAGCCGCAAGAGCAGATCAACATCGGAACCAACTTGCAAGACGCGCACGCCATTCGTCGCCCGCCCGCTGAATCACGCCATTGGGGTTAGAGACGACCATCATGGGTAACCACTCCTGCCTGCCGCACAGAGCATCGACGTGTTATGCACAGGCACCTGGAGCTCATGCTGCATAGGGCCACAGTTCTCTCCTCGAAGAAAGAGGGAGTGTGTGGAAAACTTACCCCTTTTTATGATTTTCACTTGGCAAGATCCATCCCCTCGTCTGAATGGCTGGCATGCGCAGCAAGTAGCTAAGGCGCAAGAGACTGTGGTGCACCTCCAGTACACAAAACATGAATGCAAGTGCACCATCTTGCCGGTAGTCTAAGCGCTGACTGACATGCCTGACCGTCAACAACAGATCGACCATAAAGCGACACAACACCCTCATCCCCCCCCCCCGCCACACACACACAAAAAGAAAAAAAAGAACTTGTTCCTAACTCCTGCAAGCCTGCCCTGATGTACAGCTAATAGTGCATGGCAACAGCCTGCTCGCTGCCGATAGCAGTCTCCAAGGCTTCGCAACAACAGTTCTCGCCTCTCTCTGTGTACTCTCCCGCCAAGGTATCTCCTGATGCTACTGTCTTCACCCGAACGGAAAGCTTGCTACCTTCAGTCTACATACAGCGATAATGACCGGGCGTTCTATTAGGGTGAAACAGTAGTTTATGACAATCTCACCAACAACAAAAGAACAAAAAGAACTTCCCTCGTTGATGACATCATCGACGACCTACCTAATCAATGATCTTCTCGACCATCGCATCAGTAATTTGCTCGATGAACTTCTCACCCCCTTCAGCAAAGTGGACCAGAGTCTCCCCATCAATAACCACCTCCCGTTCTCCCGTACGACTCCTGTGATCTAGCAGTTAGCAGTTATTCACAATATCACACTGCAAGCTTTCGCAGAGCGAAACTACAATCTTCCCCAAGCTTTTAACCCTGCCCCCGCCTCCTTGGCCGACATCAATCAAAGCAACCCATGAGGCGTAATGCAGCACTCCTCTCCAACCTTCGCTCAACTCCCAACTCCCCTCATTGGCCATCATCATTGCCGATATGTTAGCGCTCCATCTAAAGACCATCTTCACAATCCACTTCCGTCAACAGCATCATAGTAGTACCAGTCTCCAGGACCGCACACCACACTTCTCCTTGGGAGCGCTGCCCCCAAAAAAAAAAAAAAAAAAAAAAAAAAAAAAAAAAAAAAAAAAAAAAAAAGAAACGGGGCTAGCTGCTGCTCTGTGGTTGCTGAAAACTTTCACATTCCCAAAAAAAAAAAAAAAAAAAAAAACCCTTTCTCATGGGGTGTCGGAAGAGCCCTCTCAAGTGAAGTTCAAAAGTCCTCTCAACTTCTCAAGAGAACAGTTTTACAGACTGGGGGGTTTCTACCCCAAGAGTCTAGTAATTGTGGCAACGCTCATCGGCTAGCCCCACGAAGAATGGATGGTCGTCAGCAAAGTGGATGGTGTCTGACCCCTCGAGACTTCGCAGCCGACAGATCCACAAGAATGGGCCTCGCTCCACTTCGCACCAAATGTGCAAAATGAGAACGAATACTGTTCTACAACATGGAAAGATACGCTGCCATTTTTTTTTTCTTTGTGCATGTCGCGAGTAGTGGAGTGAGGTCCAATCGCGTGCAAGAACGAGGGAATGCTAACGTACGATGTGCCATCCTGAGCTGATCACAGCCAATAGTAACCCCCCCACACACACACACCCCAACCACAACCCAAAAAAAAAAAAAAAAAAAGAACAACAAAACAGTGAAAAAAGGACAACCAAAGGAAATAACAAAAAATTCAGCGCACCTGCAAACTGCTCGGGCAAGCTTTTCGATAAGAGACAATTCGGCGAAATTCGCCCATCACATCAATAACAAGCGGAGCAGCTGACAAAGGCTTAGCAAGCACTCCCTGTGAAGTTGTGAACACAGCCTCCTGACTCCCAACTGCCTGACAAGCTTCTCGGTGCGAGTCCCTTTATAGCAATCATAAAAAACCCACAATAGCCGCAGTTGGGTCAATCAAAATAGCCGCAGTTGGGTCAATCCCAATAGTCGCAGTTGTCGTGGACCCTCGCAAGTGCTCGTTGCAAGAGGCCAGAACACAGCCAGCATCCTCCCGTGTCCTACGCACTGTGAACGTATTACAGAAGACCAAAAAGAAGACAGAAAAAAGGAGCGAACGGACACGAAAATGAGGGGAGAGGGGGGGGATGTCTAAAACAACTATTTGTTAAGAAAAGTTGTAACGACAAGCAGATGGTATGAGGTTGGCATCTCACCGCAAACGCGAAGTTGTCAGTTGCACGTATGTGACCGACCAGTCTGTCTAGGTGAGTTGAACCTCGCGCCAAGGACCGACGTATCTAGTATTATCTACAAATTCTTCCAAGAGTTCGTATACAGCAGCACATGACGATTCCATTAAAACAACACACGTCCCTGCCCCACGATTCCAAAAGAGAGTGCCGACGCTTTGAAACGAGCATCCACAAGTGGCAACAAGGAAAGAGCATGACACACTTCCACACTCAACCTCACCCATTAAAAAAAAAAAAAAAAAAAAAAAAAAGAAACTCTTTTGCCAACCCTATGACCTTTTCGATGGAGGTTAACCCCTACTACTGTCAGGGGCCAACTTCAGGGAGAGGGGCAGTTAGGATAAGCAGCATTTGTGTGCGATTTGGATGGGACTTGCCTTGCCCCCACCATATCGCAAGTCGGACGCGGTGTTTAATTGCTGTCGGTGATGTCGTCGGTGTTGTTGTCGTCGGCCTTATCGCAAGCGCAAGTCAGACCCAGTGTTTAATTGTTGTCAGTGTTGTTGTCGGCGAATAGTACAGCTTCCAGAATCCAGAAGGGACAAGATCTTGGTTCAAACTTCAAAGACACAGGTGCATCGTTCACGCGTCATCACTCATGGGTGTCATTTTTCTTGCCACCGCAAATAGACTGGTCCTTGAAAAGGGGTTCGCCGAGGATCGATCTTCTCAGTCCTGAGCGTGCAGTCGTTTGACGAACTTCATTACAAGAATGCAACCTTGCCCAAATAGCCGCTTTACCCCAAACAACCATATATAGTGCAATCCTTTTCAATAACACCCCCAGAGAGAGAACATCCCCACCTTCTGAGGCTTCTGTGGCATAACTCCCTTCGAAGATAGGGCAACGGCCTCACGGAACCATCCACCATCCACATAGCAAGCAACATACTAGTTACATACACAGTCCTGTAGTCCTGTAGTTTGGTACCAAGTGCCAAACTTATGGTACCAAGCGCCAAACTTGCGGTACCAAGTGTCGAACTTCGGTACCAGAGGTCAGTAAAACTTCCGAACCAAAGCCCAAACTTCAGTCTAATCTCTCTCTCTCTCTCTCTCTCTCTCTCTCTCTCTCTCTCTCTCATACCAAGTACCTACTGTCTGCACCAGAACAGAACGCCCGGTCATTATCGCTGTATGCCGACTGAAAGTCGCACTAAATACCGCTATAATGACTGGGGCGTTCTAGCTTGAAGAAGGTAAGAGAGGCTGCAAAACTCCACCACCAACTCCAGCAGCAGCAAAGTCGTGCGAACTCCAGCAGCAGCAAACCGGAATATGACTTCGGTACCATGTCCCGCATTACCAGGCACCAAGCGACTTGACCCATGTATATTTGGTACCAAGTACCAAGGCGTGGTACAGCGTATAAACGACTAAGTGCCAGGAACCAAGCCCATTGGTACCGAGTATCAGGTTGTGGTACAACCAATAAAACACACTGTATCAGGAACCAAGCCCATCACAAGGGAACAAAGACCAGCTGCAGTGCTAAACACCACGCAGCAGAAAGTAACTTGGCAACCAAGGGAACAATGTCCAGCTGCAGTGCAGATCAATGGACACGGATGCAGCTAGCATATCGCTAAGCGCAGATATAATCACCACCGTGCTGGTCCCCAAATAGACGGATGGGTGGATGGCATGTGGCAGTCTCCGAAATGGCAGGAGCACCAACCCCATGTGTTGAAACCTGCCATATTTTCTCACAAAGCAGCTGCATTATTGCCTCATGTTCTTATGCTCTGTCATTCATTCAGAAGCATTCCACCGTCAACCATTGCCACTTCAAACTCATCCACCACCCTAAACTAGGTACATCACAAACTCTCCTTCATAACACACACACACACACACACACACACACACACACACACACACACACACACACACACGCGCTTACGCATACAACCACGCGCACACATGCACAGATTCATACTTAACGTAACTCACTTCAGATGGTTGGCCACTTGGCATCCAGCACCACGTACTCCGAGAATATACAGGTGGCCATCTGGAGTAAGACTGCTTGGCCAAGCACTGAAGATAGGGGTTGGCCGAAGGAGGTCGATAAGCAGCACTTTCGTGGACATCAGTGGAGCATGTACCAATGGGATAAACATGTGTCCAGAGAAACAGAAAGCTGAAAGAAACAGATGGTAATACAAATGAGCCGTTAGCAAAACACCTCCACCACTTCCCCTTTCCTCCTCCACAGGGATGTGTTCTCCAAATGGACAAACAACCAACTACAGACTGGTGTCCTGCAATCGCAGGCATAACAAGGCGACCACTCCTGTAATCAGAGACGCGCCAAGCCAAGGAAGCTTTAGCCAGATTCCCCCTGGCGCAATTTCTGACAGGGGCAAGTTGGCCAAATAGCCTCGGAAAAAACAATTCGGTCAAACGAACACGATCCACCAACCCTCTCCTCATCGCCCTTCCTCCGCCGAGAAACACCTCTTGCGGGCCGTTAAAGGGCCCCTTAGTCGGCAGTAATTCGGCACAAACACGGACCCGTGCAATGCAAAATCGATTAGCACAAGATCGACCACCCAACACACTTTCGCATAAAGGACTGCCTCGGTCCCTCGCACTCGCCTTGTAGGGCCAAGGCGCTCTCAATCATTGCCAAGTGGCAACGCATCGGCTGACACTTCGTCTTGTGGTCAACCAATGATTAATCACAATCACTCTGTGAATATTTGAACGTCCACGTAACGGAGAGATAATGTCCTTCTGTTCCTCACATACCTTCCATAACTCCAAAAATTGGTCATGAGAAGGATATAGCCCTTTGCTTCTCTGTCGATGCCCTGGCCGTCGAAACCTCGAATAAACATCAAAAGCCTTGAAAGAATGCAAAAGACAACGTCGCAAACTGCCTATCGCTAGGCATCGCACATAACTTCAAAATTTGAGGGTGAAGTTGGTCAAGCGTGATCGTCCGCTTCGTTACACAATGCGTTCACAGTGACCACGGCCCCGACCGACCCAGCTCCTTTTTCATTGTCGAATTGGTTATAAGTTCCCTCTCCATGCTGAACATTCCGAGAGCTTTCGCGGGAGCGATCGCCTGCAGATGCCACGTTGACTTCATCCCGCACCTGTTCGTCGCTGGCCTTCTCACCGGGAGCGCCTGGCGATGCATTGCGCCCTCTGGTCTCTTCAGCAACAGGAGCTGTCGACGCTGATGGCCCATCAGCTACATTGGCTTCGCTTTTCTCAGGTATCCTTTCCAGTCCTCGGCTGCTTTCCATCTCTCTTCCAAAGCGAGACGAGCCAATTGCCTCATCTGCAGTCCCCTCCTCACCGTCACCATCTCCATCGAGTGATCCAGAGCCACTATGATCCGACGATCGAGATCCGTCATGCGTGTCCATGGATAAGCAAGCAATCAGCTCAGGAAGCGTATAAAATTGCCCTGCAATCAATTCACCGAGGTTCCCAAAGATCACATTAATGCCCAGGTACGCACGTAAATAGAAAGAAATAAAGATAAAACAGAAGAATTTCAATGAAAGCACAGAAAGCATACAAAAGCTTCAAAAAAGAACAAAATAGCATGCCTTGAGCTGGCAAGGATCCATTCAAAGAGGATTTCACGCAGAAGAGAGAACATTAGGGAATTGAAAAATGAAAACAACGACATCAATAACATGAACAGTTGGTATACACATATTAATTGTTGAAACACAGGCCCAATCTCTCTCTCTCTCTCTCTCTCTCTCTCTCTCTCTCTCTCTCTCTCTCTCTCT